TGCCGCGTGTCGGGGGGTAACTCGCCTCTTCACAAAGCCGGCGGCTCGGGAGGGGACGGCGAGGACTGGTCTTTAGCGAGGGCAAACCCCAGCTTTTGCAGCGAATCGCGGTGGTGGCACTAGTAATGATGACTATTACAATAAATAATAACAAGAGTAACCAGGCTCTGACCGGGCGCCGTCGGGTCGGCCGGTGCCCCGGCCAGAAGCATTTTCCGTAACCTCCCTGTTCCCTCCCCATTAAGCTCGCCCAGACAAACGGCCCCCGGGTCCGGCTGGGCGGCGCCCCTCCCCAGCCGTGGGGAGCGGGCTCGGAGCGCAGGGAGGGAGCTCGCCGCGAGGTGCAGGAGGGCTGCGGTAGAACACTTCCAGGGAAAGATTAATACACGCAACAGAAGGTTAGCGGAGCTACTATCCTTTTCAATTCATTTTTTACTTAAAAACGCAATGGAATTATTCATTTTATTAAGGAGGAAGAAATTAAAGATTAGGCTTTAGGCGGTATTTTACCTCCCTCTAATCGCCTCTGGGATCGGATTGGAGTAATCCTGACGACGAGATGAATTCTCCGGTGACTCGGATTTTGAGTGCATGTAGAGATACGTTATGACAATAATGCAAGTGAGCAATATCAAGAACATAGCCTAGGAGCGAATGAAACACAAAACCGATTACGGGGAAAAAGAGAACAGCAGCTTTCCCGGGCAGAACACGAAATCAACCCGAGGCAAAACTTTTGCCCTTAATTCCTCCGACGATCTGTAACTCTGGGAGGCCGGCGGGCCCGCTCCTGCCCCCGCCGGCCCCCTCTACCGGGACTCGGTACGTGCCGCCAGCCTGGAGAGAGGTCCGGACCCGGGGAGGCTGGCCCAGCCTGCAGCCCGCCGTGCCCCCTGCAAAAAGAAACCGGCCAAGAGGTTACTCTTCGCCACCCTCAGAGCCCGTAAATCTCTCTGCCTCGGGAAAAACCTCTCTGCACCGGCACGACTGCAGGATATTTGCAGCTCGGCAGATACGTAACATCGCTGAAAAGACGCCGTCCGAGCGCAAGGCAAAGCTCGGGACAGGACTAAAAAAATATATCGACATTGTTTTTAGTAAGTCTGTCTATATTGCGGGCAACCCCAGCACTAGCAAGGCTCCATCTCTGAGACGGAACTGAATGACTTCCCAAAAAAGAAAAATTAAAAAAAAAAAAAGGCTTTTAGATCTCTATTCAATAATTAGGCACGAACATAAGTTTTCGTGTGCGGTACGGAAAGAAAGGGAGGCATATCCGTAAAGAAGTAACGAATAATAAAGCTCCCGCTTCTCCAAGAGTGTATCTCAGTATTGAGGCGGCCAGTATAATTGTAATGGCAGGGCTGTAATTGCTGCTTTGGGATATTTACCCCGCTCAAATGACACTACATATTTTACTTTCAAACACATGTCAAAAAGTCAATCCCAAAAAGACCAGTTAAGAGCAAGCTGTTAACATATTAAGTATATGGGATTTGAAGCCTCTAAAACCCACTCAACAATAATTCCCTTCTTCAGCACCAATCAAGAGGAAATTTGCCTAGATTGAATTAAATGTAAATTGCTCTGAAGGAGGAAACTCTCCTCTGGCAGACACAAAATAAGCGAGAGACACCGACACCCCGGAGAAGCGCGCAGCCCGGGGCAGCTGCCCCGCACGGCGCTGGGGG